CTGAACATATTACTGGCTGAATCGTTTTTCCTTTGCATTAATATTACTTTAAGTGCCTGTCACTATAGACTACTGATCTTTGAAACAGAATGGTCTGCAATGTTGTTAACGGTCTCCCACCGAGTCGGCTTCGATTTTCGGCACATCCACAAAACGATTATGATGGATTTGTACTGTTTCCCCATAAAAGCTTTTGAATTTACTTAATTATAAAATTCAATCGGCGTAGACTCAGTAAGGTGTTTTGGATGGACTATGGATTTTTTTCTAGAATGTGATGAGTGGAATCTGTGTGGAATCAGCATGTGTCAGGCCAACGCAGCAAGTGAGATAAAATATTTGGCAAGTTTATGGTAAGTAAGTAAATCTCGGCCAAAGAAAATTATTTATCCTTATGGCGATTGAAAGGTATAGTGATGATTTATTCCTTACTTTACCTTGTATTTGATCCAGAAATTAATGTTTTTTTCAGTATTTTTTATGTTATAACCAGTGGGTTTAACAATATCCTTTTTCTATTTAGCCTTAGGCGACTTTAGATTTTAGTTATCTTTATGTATCTTGTAGAAATCAATGCACACTAAGAAATTCGCAAATAATTTAGCTTGATAACATCCCAATAATGCTTGGATCCATATTAATACATAATCCAAATCTGTATTCCGTTTCTTGTAATACAATAAGTTATTCAAAGAGGTTACTCTTGAATGTATAAGCTATTTCCCATATAAATAAAACTAGATAATAATATAACTATATACAAAGTATGAGTATATTTGCTCTTTTGAATTTTCCACGTAACCAATAACCAAACAGAAACAGTTCGGTATATTAAATACATTAAAAACCCATTTTTTACCCCATAAACCCCCGTTCCCATGTTCCGATCATGCTGGTTCGAAAACTGGTTCGAATTACGTAGGCTTAAACGTTTGTACCAATATTCATAAAAATCTGATGGTTTTGCTAGAATTACAGCATGCAAAATGTAGGGTCAGTACCACCAACGGGGTGGTTAAAACTAGTAAAGTGTTTAGAACATAAATTACACTGTAAGTAAATAGTTTACTATCTAAATTCAAGCAAACAGTAAGTGTTGTTAGTGGTTAAACAAATAGTTTTAACAGAGAGTCCAACAATGATTGTTGTTGCGATGTTGCTCACACAATAGCTAGTAAGCTATGGAAAAGTTATCTCAAGTAGGTACTACACTGAAACTCCACATAATTGGGCATGTCTAAGTGTACTGAATAATATAATTAAATAAATTTAAATCGCACGTACCTTTTTAACTGCATATGTCATATGAATCAGTTTCGGTACGCATGCGATTCCGTTTATTCACTACAAGACTTTTTTTCATAATCAAAAAGTTTGGTTGGTTAGTTTAGTTTCATTTTAGAATTGCTATATGCTTGGACTAGGCTAATTGTTGAAAATATCAGAATCGAAATAAAAAGGTAGTGGTAGTGAACTAACGGAAACAAACTAACGTTTTTCTGTCGAAGTTTTTTTTCGTAGATATAGTTTTATTTTTTATATAATCTAAACCCAAAACTACATTTCAGCAGTCTCGTCTTCATGAAGAGTACCCACTCAGTATTTAATAAAAAATTTTGTTGATCACTGTGGCAAAAATTATGTGTAATTGAGATAAGTTTGCCTTTTTTTAAATATATAAGTGATCTGAATCAAAATGGTTGATTCAATGTTTTTATCAATTGAAACATAGTTTTACATAGAATTAACCACGCTGTATGCATAGCTTTTTAGCTTATAATTTTGAATCATTTAGGACCGTTAAAATAATTCTTTATGGGAGCAGACAATTATAATAAAATTATGACCACCAACAGTCCTAAAGAATTTGAATGAGATGAGTGAAAACGAAGCATATGATCAATTAGAGGTAAATAAATATTTTACACACGATTAGTTTGTTTTCGCAAAGTTATCTGTAGCATAGCGTAGTCCAATAATAATAATAATAAAATATGTTGAATCTGAATCTTGAATCATTGAATAAATTAAGGTGCTCTTTTATCCTAGAATTGACTATGGAAAGGAAACTCATGCCAATAGATAGTTTAAATATCTCGCCGCAGCACACCTGCAGACTAAGCAAATTTCTATTTACCTGGATAGATTTTCACTCAAATATTTCCTTAAATTTGTTAATTCCTTATTAAATAACATTAATTTTAATTATTACTTAGATTTTATAATACGGGGAAGGTAATCAGGTGTCTTTTTTTAATTTAATTGTGGATAGCTTAATAAGAAATAAAAGAAATCGTCAAATTTTATCAAACATTATCCATTAGAAGGATGCTACAATAGTTTATTTACTCTCCATATAAAAAAAAAGAAATATCCTCTTGTTTTAATTTCTCTGTAACAGTAAGGCATACAACACGCTTCAAAATACTAAACTATTGATTTTAAGTTAAGGAATTCTATAAACAATAAGTGAAGATTTGGTTCAAGGCCATAGCAATAGTAAAAAATCTAATTTCCCCTTATTAAACCCCCCATAAATCCTATATGATTTTTACTAACAAACGTATTGTTAAGCATGGAAAATTAACAAATCAATTTTAACACTACAATCGAGCCAGAGTCTGAATACTTACAAACCACCCCGCACTACTAATTCCATAGCTCGATCATGCTAGTTCGATAACTCGTTCGAACAAACGTAGGTTTACACGTTTGTACCAAATTTCTAGAAAATCGGATAGATTTCTAGAGTTATCGTACTAATGGACATATGATTTTGACCGGAGGGTGTTTTTGGCCTCCAGAGACCTCAAAACGAAAATGTAAATCGATCCGGGTCTAGGTCTTACCATGAAACCTACGGTAATAGTTTATTTCCTACTATGGGGAATTCGCTAGAGTCTAGATATGAGAAGAAGTCCACTGCAGTAACTAATACAAGGTAAAACAATCACTACTAAAAGTAGGTAGGTATGCTACAATTGGAAGATCAATCAATTGCATTTAATACCTCTTTCTTATTTATTATAATAATCTCAGTTGTTTAAAGATTATCTTTAAAAGATTATACTATTGTTTCCAGCTTAAACATTTCATATATACATAGGTTTGTTCATGATTTAAAAATATAATGCAAAAAAATGCATGGGAGCTAATATATGCAGGGCTCTTGATACCCAAAGTTATGCCAACACTCAGTAGTAGGCCTAGTCGTATAACGGAAAAGGACAATTTTTTTGTATACAATTTAGACTCTAACCTGGTATAAACCCTTAAGCATTTAAACATTAAACATTAAACCTAGAACATTATTGTGATTTTAGCTTTAAGATGCATTGGAATTTCTATTATGCCTCTTTGTAGAGGTCAGTCTGATATCTCATAATTAGATATATAAATTGCAGTCATTCAGCAATGCAAAATCTAAAAGGTTGGTAAAATGGTAGTAAAGCATTGGCTCTTAGTGGTCTTTTATAAATTTTAAATACGATATAAGAAGTCTCACCTCCCGAATATAGTAATGTGATCAGTTAAATGTTTTACCTGATCCACTAAATGAATGGAATGCCTCTGATGACAGGATAGTTATTTGCTAGTTATTAACACCAGTTGTCTAATAATAACAAATATATGTCTCAATATGCATTTATTGGTATAATACTTGATATAGTACAGCGTTTAGTAATACATGAAATAATCGATAAACTCTAAATAAATACATTCTAAAAGAGTTTTACTCAGGAAATATTACTAACGCCAAGAAATGGGTAACGTTTTGTTTAACACCCTGCCACCATCCCCTGAAGAAAAGTGTGAGTAATTTGTTTTAGTGTTGTTTTCAGGAAGAGCTTTATAATAACCAGGCATCTTCAGCGACAAGCGAACCTTATTAGCTATGAAACAGTACAGTCTCCAGGTGTTAAAAATATTTATGATGTTAAGACGACATACAAATGTTTCGTGAAGTCATGTGTTAAAATTGTTTTCTTTTTTATTTCGTTAATAGTATTCCCTTTGCTTGGCGGCATTGAATTATTTTTTGGGCATGTCACTATAAGTCGACGTATTATTAACCATTGACATCGATAATTAGTGGGTTAAAACCATTGTTAGTTTTTGATAGTTTCGATTCTGATCCCGCAGGAAATACTCTAGTTTAACCACAATAATACTTGGGTTTGGCTTAAAACTATGTTAGACAATATCTTACTACGTTAATTTTTGTTATACATAATTTATTTTAAATAGCTTGTACATCTTTTCATTTATGTCACTACATTTTAGATTTTTTAGTGTGCTGCCAACTACTTTGTTTTAAGTTAAAGTGCCTGCCACAAACCGCCGTAGAAATATAGGACATTACGAAATCTTTGTTCAAAAAAAGAAAAAAATGTAAATTATTTGTTTGTTAGCCTTATATTGTATCAATTGGACCTCACCGACAAGTTTTATAAACTTGGTGAGGCCAAGCTGTTGTAATTTTCATAATAAATATATTTGTATTTGTATTTGTATTTTTATCTGATTATTTAGTTGAAATACTAGTTTGTTTTGCATGAATAGTAACAATTAAGTTTGTAAACAACCATTTCTTTGCAAATAGACGATATAAGTTGAATTAGACAGAAATAAGATCTATGGTTGGCATCCTTAAGTAAGTTGAAGCATTATAAATCAATACAATCAATGTTTGGATGCTAATCGCTCTGTATTGTGTAAATACTGAATAAAAAGCAGGGCACATTGCCGGATATCGCAGCAAACGTGTAAACAACTGTTTCTTTTTCAAAGAGAGCGGGTTGGTAATTAAGGGGAATTTTGTGATGTAAAAAGCACACGATATAATTGTTTTTGCTGTTAAAATCTTGGTGAAACCATAGACTATTTTATAAACCTATTCTTATCATTTTTTTCTACCTAAAACCGTAAAAATTTACTCTTTTTCTGTATAACTTCAAAAAAGCGTATACATTAAAGTTAGGGATGATTGTATATCTTACCATAGTAACAGGACTGATGGAGCCAAAACTTCGAATGTAGAGTTCACAATAGACTGTTGTAGCGTTATCTGAAAAAATGGTTAACAATGAGTTAAATTTATTTAACATGGGAAATATGTCCAGCATTGTATACAAATTACGAATACAAATTATGTTTTGGTTTGGACCCCATCTAATGACACAAATATTTTATTCACGATCTTTAAAGTTGATGTCTAAGGTAACCGTTGCTTGATCAAAAGATCTGCTTTAATCTGGTCAAATTAGAGGAGAAGGAGAAAAAGGCGAAGATTGATCAACATGAGATTCTTATTTTATTCTCTGTTTTTCAGGTTCTCTGTTTTCTATATCTTTGTGATCTATCGACTAGAGAAACCTCAATTTAAAATAAATTATGCATTTACTTTTGTAAGTTGTTGGTCTTTGAATTGAAATATAATACCACTTTACCGTTATTATTTCGTTTCTAAATAACTTCTCAATAATACATGTTATGAATTTTACGGAGGGTAAATAAAATACACCTAATGACAGTTAAAATATGTATTTACATCAATACTGTTTCTCATAATGTTTTTTTTTATTTTGCCTATTGGGTCCGATAGTAATTGGAGTGTCCAATAAAAATCGATCACCATGACCGAATTTATATATATATTAACTGTCTTGTCAAAGCAGTAAAAGTGTAAATATACCTTTCAAGTATTATTAATCTTTTTTGCTTTCCGTAGTTATTAAACAGTTTTAACAAAACACGCAGATTTGTAAACTTTGTGACTAATTTTTGTCTAAACACAACAACTAGTCAAGTGGTTATTCGATGTAAGTCTAAACCTCAAAACTTGTTGAACATGTTATTTATTGAGTACTAAGTATGTGACTGATTCCATATTTATTCCAAAAATGAATAATTACTTAAATTATATTTTACGTTACAATATAGGTTTACAGAATAGCAAATTAGTAAGCCATCTACAAAACGAAAATAAAACTAAGAATCGTGAACCTAAGGTCATCGTTTATAGTTCATACAACAAAACTAGATACTCTTATATTCAACATAGTTTATTTTACGTTTTCTCAGTTTTTAACTAGCTGTTTTAACTGTTAACTTACATTTTTAAGTGTAGGCCTATTATTAGTAGATCTGTATACTGTACAGTACTTACTAAGATGGTTTGTAGGAGTTGCTCTTCTATCGTAATCCTTCTTCAGCAAACTGTCCAGGATTTGAAGGTGGTCAACTTTTGCACAGTACCTAAAACAAGATGTATCTATGAATTATTACAATACATCTATCCGTCCAACGCAGTCAGGGTCTTTAAGAACTGGTTTTCTAATATTGGTTAGGCTCTATTGCCGGAAATTATCATTTTGTGTTAAAAATGTTTCAACTATGTATATTAGTTTGATTTGGTGATCAACGGCACAGAGCACTGCTAAACACGTCTAATATAAACTTAGATGATATCTATAGCCCGGCAGGCTAATCTGTCACGGAATTGCGATACTGTGATTTGGAAGTGAAAACTGGAACTTTACACTCGACAAATGTGTTATACTATGTCTAAATTTTATAAACTCAGTTTCGATAAATCGAAAGTTTCAATAGTAGGGCTACTTGGTTTTCAGGTAACTTAGAGTTGTATCCTTAGCAAATGTTTTTCCTGGTGATAAAAATTATTTTTTTTATAGTAATTGCGTAGATTACTGTAAAATCCACTAGCATTTGGTTTTATATTATATGAAACACCTAAAAGCGTATAATGGACTTTGAAAGTCAAAAACAGCCATATTCAGGGGTTTGCCAAGGACTAATGTGGACTGACCAAGTGTAGCCTGGAGTTTTAAGAACAATAAAGATTGAAAAATGTGTCAATTTTATAAACTTGATCAACCACACTAGTTCAGTTACATATTATTTTTAATCTCTTATTAAAATACCAAACCCTCTTAGTGGGAAAGACATTTTAGTGTAAAGGACCCAAAACGCACTACTGTATTTTGATAATTAAAGGAAAGTTATCTACCTCCTATCCTCTTAAGTTATCTAGCTAGCTGTGTAATTCGACCTCACAGCTACTTTTCAGGGAGGGGTTGAGTTAAAAAGAAATAGCAGGGGCGTTGATGGGTCGGCCCAAACTCTTGGTTTAAGTAATAAAAACATTCCAAGATCAATCATTTACACCAAATCACCCTCAAAATTTTAGACGTACTCTTTTTTTATATCGCCATTTATGGACATACAATACGATTGTAAATTATTATTAGCTACAAGGTCATATCAGTCTTTGTCTCGTGAAAATATTTAAACAAATCAACAATTTTTTTTATAAAGTTTAATATAGTAGTTTTCATTACTAGACTGGAAAGTGACTCATTGCGGGGAGAGATGGCATTTTCGCGCGAGGCGAAGCCGAGCGCTGGAAACGCCATCGTGCCCCGCAATGACACTTTCGAGGCGAGTATTGAACATTATTTTTCATTACGATACCGAAAACTTATAAAAACATGAAAATTTTCGTTTATTTAACTTAGTATTAAGAGAAAAAACCGAACTAATGAAAAAAAACTCAACTCTGAATTATTAATAAGTGCACGGAAAAAACTCATAACGCTAACTTTCCGTGTGTATGTACCTCGACATAAGCACGGAAACTTAACGTTATGAGTTTTTTCCGTGCACTTATTAATAATTGCATGGCCAATAGTTTGAGGAAAAACAGACTATTTTGGGTAAAAAAAAGTATCTTTATTAAATTAACTACAGAACAAGCTGATGAATAAACAAATAAAGAAAGAGACCTTTGATGATTACATAGGATCAACACGCTGATAAATCTTTATTAATGAAAATGAAAATGTATGTTAAAGTCGCAGTTTTGATTTTCACTTATGTTTAACATTTTTTGTGGTAGCTTTAGGTTTTTTCTCATTTCTGCAACATTGACTTCCGAGTGTGTTCCATCAACTTTATTATTTTCTTGAATGAAATTGCGATTTTGCACAGTATCTTCTTCTGATGAAATTACATCGTCGATTGTAAAATATTGTTTTGAAACCAGATTCACCTCTTCATCATTGTTAGAAATGTTATTGAGTGGCAGTGAATCCAAAGAGGAATTGTTGTAATTTGAAATTGAATTAGTAATGTCTCTGATTGGAAGTAAATTCAAAGAGGAATTGTTTTGATTTGAGATTGAAGTACTTGGTTTTGAAAAAAGTTTTTTAGACACATCAATTTTTCTATTTATGGACTCCTCAATGTAACCTTCAGCAACGGTTGCACTTTTCCAGCCTCCGTGCCTCTTGAGTGTGAGTAAATCCGCTCCCCCTTCCACCAGCATTGACGCGGATGTGCGTCGAATAGCATGACCTGTGTAGGATTCAGGCTGTTCTAGCTTAAGGTACTGGGCGACCTTTTTGGGAACATCCGAAATCGTATGACTCCCGACATGTTGTGCTACGCACTTGCCTTGCCTGAAGCCAACAAAAAGTCTAGGGCTCGTCATTTTTGATGGGCGTAAAGACAAATATTTACGTACTAGCTAGCAGGGTTGATACGTACATTCATCGTCTGTAATGATGAAACTTCTGCTAGCATGTGTTTTACCATCTCTCAATGTAACCTTAATGAAACTGCCATAATCTTTTACGTCATTTATGCTAAGGCGTAATAGATCATCTCGCCTAAGGGCTCCAAAAATGCCAAACGTCAAAATTACTTTACTTAACAACCATTCTTTGTCGGGAGCGTTGATCATGAACTGAGAAATTTGATCAGATGTAAAAACATTCGCTTTTTTAGGTTTGAAACCAACAGACTTTTTCTTTAAAAATGCAACTGTTTTTGGAAATTTTAAATTTCCAAGATTTTCTTTTACTTTTAAGACATTTTTAACCATTGAATACTTGCTCCACAAGGTGCTAGGTTTCATAGTTTTCGACAGTTCTGACATATAGACTAGAAGTATGTCATCATTAACCTGGCTAGGTTTAATGTTTTCTTTTTGACACCAAGTACAAAGCTTATCGTATTCATTTTCGTATCTTAAACGCGACACATCAGGCAATAATTCGTTTGTTACACTTACCGCTCTGTTCATCAAAGTTTCAGGAATATTATCCATATTAGTACACATAGTTCAAAGAATCTATCTCAACAAACATAACCTAACTGACAATGTCAATATATAAGCGAGGAATGTGTTTTCAACAACAATACAATCAGCTGATCTGACTGCACCGCAAAATCCCATAGCGGTTACTTTCCGTGCAGTACATACGCACGGAAAGTTAACGTTATGTAACTTTTCCGTGGAGTAGCGGGAATTACCTATTTTCTTATCTCATTTTACGTTTAGAAAGTGTACTTTCGTGTGTAGAGTAATGAAAATAACATTTATACCACTTACGCGTTCTACAATCAATCAATCTAGATTGGTATTTTATATGAAAAAATAGAGTTGTATATTATTAAAACAATCACAACATCAAATAACGTACTTATTTTTTTGATTTCCGTCAATCATATGATTTTTTTTTTTAGAAAAAGGGTTACAAATATCAATGAACTCGTTTGTGCCCTTAAGACCAATGCGCTCCCTGAAGGATATAACCTTTGACACAAAATACAAGCATGTTATTTTTACAAATTCAAATTTAGCCAGAATTATTGACTTAAGCAGAGGAACATATCTAGGAAGGCAGGGGCAGCTGTATTTTAAAGGCCACCGGTTCCAAGTCTGCAGAAAGCAAACAATCTGCACACCACTTGAGTGGTAAACTTTCCACTCATATAGCAGGAAATTCCACATCTGACCTACTTGGTCCTCAAACCAACAGGAGCTTTCAAAATAAAGTTAAAAAGACCGTAATGTATGACAATATCAATGATTTGGGTAAAAGTGATGGTACAGTTAAACGTGTCCTATGAATAAAGTAAAAGTTTTTAAATTAAGTTTTTGTTTTTTGGGTAATTGGAAGTGGATCAACTGAAGTGGCAGTTGTAACTGATAAATAACAAGGGGTATCCGTACTTTAGGCTAAAATCCGTAACAAACGGACGATTATATTATGGGGTAAATATTCTATCGTTAATTTTTTTTTTCAATAATGGTTCATCTAATGTCCATGCAAAATCATAAAACATCCGCTGCAGCAAGCCTGCAGGCTAAGCTTATTTTGATTCCCCTGGTTGGATCTTCACTAAAATATTTCATTACAAATGTCGGATTTATTTTCCATTTAAATAAAACAAATTTAATTAGTATTTGGCTTTGTTGTCACTGTGCAGGTAATAAACAGTGTTTTTCTTTATTGAAATGTCAATAGCTTAATATGATATAAATAAATTTGAAAAATTCATTAAAATAAGTCCCTGAAAAGGCAAACTATATTCGTACGGCATATTGTGTAAGAATGTGTGGGCGCACACAACACTTGTGGCAAACGGCTGCTTTTGTTTGAGTGGTGTGGTTAGAGGCCCACTCCACGTTTTAAGGAATGCTTTATGATTTAGGCATACGTCCACAGACAGAAAAAAATCATTAACTAATAAACATTTTAACGTTTTAACTTCTCTAAACCACTCAATCTTTACAATTGTATTACAGAGATTTGTGCAATACTTTATCTTTGAAAACATTAAAATTACATATTCCAAATTTTAAGATATATTTAAGATTTATATTTAATTTTAAGATATATTCTATATTTATGTAGAAGTTATATTAACCAATATCATTCGTGCAATTTAAATCTTTTCAAAATTTTCAGTCGAGATTGTTTAAACTTGTACCTCTGACAATATAGCTACATAGAATGCCCACCCGTAAAAGAAAAATTATAAAACAAATGTCCAAACACAAAAAAAAATATATTATTATTAGCGAAAAATAATTCATTTAAATCAAAACCCATTAACAATATGATCTGACACAAGGTTACATAACCTGATGACACACTATACATTGTGTCAAGGAAAAATCTGTTTGGCAATAAATGGACATCAAAATGTGCTAAATTTGATTTCAACCTGGGGTTTGTAACATGTAATTAGTTTTATAAAACAAATATCTGAAAAAAACAAAATTAAATTCTGTAAAACAATTATTCCGAGAGACTATAAACGTTTTTTTGAATCAATAGTTATCAGAGAAATAGCTCAACATCAAACAAGTAACATTATACAATATTCGACTTAAATCCTTTTTTCCAACTATTCTGAGCACGTACAATGTATTTTCACACGTGAGT